AATAATTACCTATACTATTTGGGGTGTTTCTTATTACCTTTATACTTTATGCTATAAAGCAGCCCAAAACCCTGTTCTAATTATTAAGGCCCCTACATTAGAGCTTCGGGCCTAGGGTTGAGGGTATAAGCTACGGATTTGGGTTTAGGGTTTAGGGTTTAGGGAGGGTTGAGGGTCTGGGATTCTTTCGTGCTTCAGGCTTGTATTCGGGCTTGCGGTGGATTGCGATGATACTTGATCCCTAAGTTTGTGAACCTTTCATGAACTCTCGAAAGCCTTCTGCTGTTGACTGCCCTCTCTCTCCGCATAGTAGGACTGTTCTCAGTTCGGATATGTTCATTGTCACTTCTTGAAACATGTACCGACTTGAAGACGATCTGCGAAGCCAGTTGACTCATCTCCAATCGCCTGGCGCTTGTGGCGATGCGTGGTAGACCGACATTGAACACCTTTCAAGCTTTCGTTTATCTCGGTGACCTCCTTCCGGCAGGGAGCTTTAGCAATCCAGGAAATCTTGCAGTCTTTGCAGGTTTGGCAACAATCGCGAGATCTCCCCAGATGGTGGGCATGGTGGGTGCAGACATCCTCCTCCCGACAAAAGCTAAATTCAGAGAAGGCCCTTGATACTATATCCTAAACTCTGAACCCTGAGACCTGATCTTGTGAAACCACGAAACCCTGCGCCTTAAACCCCAAGTTTCAAAAGCCCTGCAGGAAGTAGTGTTTTTATACGAGTATTCCGAAAAAGGACGGGCCATATACACACTCTCCGACATTGCAGAAGAGCCCCATAGACACTTACCAAAACCTGTACTTCATGCGAACGCTAAGCCCGATAAAAAACTCCACACGCCATAGGACAAAACGCGAACATGCTATTCAAGAAACCACCAAGTCCTTGCTGGAAACCTCTGCAGCCGCATAAAGACTTGCAGAGCGCAGCAAACCCTGAACAACACTTGGGTAGTTCTCTAAATTAGGGTCCCTTTTTGGGTCCCCCAAATCGTACGGCACCCTTATAAAGAGGACCTTAAAAGTGTCCTAATTTAGAGAACCACCCAGTTGTTCGGTAATTCCGGACAGAGGAGCCTGATACTGGTCACCCGGCTGCCCTTCGTCCAAGGGCAACCTGCAGGGAGGAGGGTATAGGGTTTAGGGTTTAGGGTTTAGGGAAAGGTAACAGTGCTCTACACTGTGATGGCAGGCTTCTGTTGCAGGGTCTCCGAAAATAGGGGACCCAACTATAGTACCCTAAATAGTAGGATCCTTATTCTAAGGAGCCCAAAATAAGGTACCCCTTATTTTAGGAAACTCCCATTGGGGTGTAGTCTTCAGCATGGAGTTGGGGTATATGGTATACTGGAAGCAGTGCACAGTGGTCGAGGTTTGGGGTTGAGGGAAGATTTACCCTCAAGTGCCCCTAAACCCTAAAACCCTAACCGACACTGTTTTGGGGGTTCCTTATTATAAATACGGTACAATGAATTTGGGGTTCGGAGTGGCAACAGCTTTTCGCTGTGGGGCAACTGCAGGAGGCCTGACACGACTCAGATTGTTTCTGCAGGTTTAAATATGGGGTTTCCGAAAATAGGGGGCCCTAATATAGTACCCTAAATACTAGGATCCTTATTCTAAGGACCCCCAAAATTAAGGTACCCTAAATTTTGGAAACTCCCATATCTAGATCCATGTGGCTGCCGGGCCTCCCAGGTGCAAAAGGATAGGGAGATGGACACTGTGGGATCGCAGTCTTCAAACCGCGTGTTGAGAGGCACAGGGTTTATCGATGCTCCATACTAGAGCCTGCGAAGATGATGAAAGATGTCGCTTCTCGGACCTGTCTAGGATTCCTGGCAGGGGTCTATTCAACTCCTGATCTGATACGTAGGTTCATAGATTGGCTGTCTCCGTAATTTGGAATGCGTTCACTTGACATATAATAGCAACAACCATGACAGGAAAACGGAAGCCTGGCATCTACCGCCGCCACCTGAAGTCGTAGTAACCCGCGCAGAACCCTTGAACCCGTCAGGGAACCCGATACACTGTTCCGGCTATCGACATGCCTACGGTTGATGATATAAGTCCTGCATTCCCCATAATAAGGAATATAGCATAATTGCCATAGTTTAGGCTACTTAAGGTAATGCAGGAGTCAGATCATCAGCAGTATTCTCTCTTCAACAACTGGGCCCAAACAAGTTCAAAGACCAAATATGTAAGGCCAAACAGTTTAACGTCTTCCCATTGGCTATCTACGACTTATTCTGCCCCCACCTGAACCCTTGAACCAAAAAAGAGAGCCGACATTGTCAATTCCAGAGATTCAGCCCCAATATAGTTCCCTTCAAGGGAGACGCTACTATGGAACCCTATAGGTACCCTTTAAAGGTGGGACCCTAGAGAACCCTATGGTACCCCTAAGCCCTAGAATCCCAGGTCCCTCGTAGCTTAAACCCTAAAACCCTAAACCC